CATTCTTCTTATTGCAATACTTTTCATCGTAACGCTCCTCTACTTGTTGAATTCAAGTAGCTCTCTCTTGGTGCTCAGCTTTAAAATCTCCGCCTTCGCTTCGCTCCGTAGCTCCTGCCGTTAACAATTGGTTTTCGGTTAGCAGCAAGGTGGGAGGAGGAGCAGCACAGGCATGGAGCTAAGCGAGGCCACGCCAAGTTTCTCTAGGTACGGCCGCGTTTGGCAGTGACTCACCAGGGAGCTTCCTGGCCGCCAACACCCTTCCTGCTCGCTCTAGGGGTGACTCAACGCGCCCAGCGGCGCGGCTGGGAACGGCGCTCCCGTGCCCTTTCCATAGGGGTACCTCGAAGGGTGTCAAGAGGGAAAAAAAAGGCATGTCCTAACCGGCTGCTTCCCCGTGCGTGAGGCAGCTTTTACATAGAGGTTGCTTTGTTTGGCGTTGGAAAGGCAAGCAGGAAATTCAGAGTTAAGGGCCGCGCTTGATCTATAGGTCCTAAATATCTGCTGGATGGCACCAAAATATTGCCATTCCCGCTAGGTCCAGTGAAAGTCTCTCCGTGGTTAGTTAGGCGATCCTGAGCAGTCAAAGGAAGGGATGGGAAGTATTTTTTCCCCTCTCACTTCCCTTGGGTTCACACAGAACAGGCTCGGTGGCGCAGGGTCTGTCTGGACTTGCAGAGGGCAAACCTCACCTCAACCACTTCAAGTCTGTCTGTCTGACAGATACGGTGTAATTTAAGGGCAGGAGCACCTGACCTTTCGTCCAGAGGAGTCGTTTCCTGCAGGAAAAATAGCAGTTTTAAGGCAAGCCTTTTTCATCACAAGTAAACCTGAATTACTGATGTTGTAAGGACATAACAGCTGGGCACCATGGATGTCATCAAATTAAAGAAGAAACACAGGAAATGAACAGAATGCATTTTTCTAGAATTTTTTCTAGAAATACATCAGTGTTGGATTTTTATTTTTTTTTTAATTTTTTAGAATTGGACTGAAATGTCCCTCAGACTACTGCCCCAAATTCTTGGCTTCAGGAAATCAAATGAAGCATTTTTAGAAATCACTGGCCTTAACTGTGGTGTTTTAAACCACAAAATCAAGACACAAAACCTTCTTCCCTTCAGTTAGCTGCCTATGGCTTTTCTCCCTTATATTTTTTTCCTGTTCAGCCTTCTGTCAGATGTTTCAGGCTTTAATTTCCCCACACCTTTAGAAGACTAGAAGCTTACAATGTTTGCTGTGAGCATACTTCTGTGGCATTTGCTCATGCTACCTGCTTTACCAACTTGGCAACTAATGAAAATGTAGATTAAGAACTATGTATCTTCACCTGGCCTGTGAACTGATTGATCCTATTCTACGTGCCTGAATTTATTAATTTCTTTTTTCCTGTCTGGGGAGTTTTTAGAGTTTCAGTACCATTGCAGTATTAATAATAGTGTGTTTTGGTGACCAGTGCTATCCCTGGTTGTGTGCCTGCTCTCATCTAATTAAGACAGAAGGGAAAATGCACTCAATGGGTGCACTTGTATTCTGGGAAATATGATAATGCTTATAAGAAATGACAAAAACTATTAACCTTAAATACTCTGCTTTTGTGAACAGACCTTTCATTACGTGTGGAAATAAAAAGTTGCCCCGAACAGTGAGACTACTGGCATAGTTTATTTAATTGATACTTGCATGGGCTGAACTCTAAGTACAGAGTAAAAGCCTACAGGCTATGAAACACCAGCTTCAACCAGAGGCTGATGTTTGCACATGTTCGTGCTCTGGCGGTGGTTTGGGTGTAATGTGTGAACGAAATGGCAGGAAACAAAGACGGTCTTGAATCAAGTCCTCTTGCAAGCAAGGGCAGGACTGACCATGAAGGGTTTGGGAGCAGTTTTGGTGAGTGGTTCACAAGAAAGGCAACATTCATGAAATTAATCCCTTCCTTTTTTTTTTTCCCCTTCAGGAAATGGTAATCTAAACACTTGGGTTCAGAGGGTTTTGCATCTCTGTGTTCTGGCTTGCTCCCCGTGGAGTATCTATGGGATCACTAGATAATGGGGAGTTTCCAAGCAGCGCTTGCTATCTCTCTGTTTGCTATCAGCTGACTTTGGTTGCTCTTACAATAAAAGATTTTCCCCCAAAAAAAACTTTTCAGGATGGAAACACCCTGACCACTGCTGTGCTTAGTGGTATCAGAATAGTTAAAGACAAGGCAACGAGTCTGGCTGCTTCTGAAAGTTTGATGGGGTTCTGTAGCTACACCAGGTAGCAAAGCTGGTCCCATGTAGTTGTGTGCCTGCTGCAGCTTGTCAGGAAAATAAGAGGCTGCATCAATAACCCTGGCTTCTCAAGTGGTTCTCATAAGAAAAGCTCACCCCTGAGCAGGCAGCACCATAAGGAAGGTTGTTTGTACCTCAATCAATGAGACTCAAAATAAGGTGGAAGTGGTAATTATTTGACAGGTGGAAAAAAAAAGATGCGTTATGACTGATTGCTTCGGTTCTGCTGTTTTATTGACCTGTGCAGCTAGTGTCCAGAACATCCTGTTTCAACATGCTGGCATCACTTGGGGTTACTCCACTGCCAACTTTTTCCCTATATTCTTTTTGTTGTTTTTACACGAGAATGCTGATGACTTAAGGAACACTTTATTTACCTCTTTTATTGGCAGAAGCTGCTGTGATATATGTTTGCGTGGGGCAGGCTGTGAATTTAATGGTCGCCCCATCTGCTTGCTTTAAAAGAAAGAAAGAAAAAAAAAAAGATTAAACCCCATCTGACAGCTAATGTAAGGCTCAGCCCTTCTCCCCTCCTCCTCTCCCTCCCCAGTAATCACGTTATTCACTGGGATGGAAAAAAGAGTCGGTGTTAATTTCCTCCATTCCCACACCTTGCAACCCAGCACAAGTCGCTGCCGTTTCTTGTCCTTCAGAGACCAATTATTGCAGGTGAAGTCAGGCACGGGAGCGGTGTTGCTAGGAGTGGGAAATGGGGACTGGGGCTTTACGCAACTTTTGGAGCCCAGCAAGATGCAGAAATCTGGATGGGTCACGGGAAGCCTCGTAGAATGGAAACGTGGGGACAATTTGAAAATGGCACGTATGGTGGCCACTGGGGAAACATCCTGAGTCAGGTCTCAGGTATGGGATTTCCATCCTGAGTCAGGTTTCATCTACATCGTGTCCCATAGATGTAAATTTGGACGGACAGTGAGGGGTGATGTCTGGATGGGGCGCTGAGATGCTCTCCATGTTCTATAGTATGGTTTTGAGGAGGGATGTTGCGGAGGAGTTGTGCAGCACCAAGGTCCTCTGTGCTTTATTCCTGTGGGCGTTCAGTATTCTTTCATGTCCGTAATGTGAAACCTGTCCGAATCCAACCTGTCATTGGAGTTAGACATAATAAAAGGTGTGCTTAAATACGTGCATCACCCTCAGTGTGTTTAGACTTCAGCTGGCACAAGAAGACGTGCTTAAGCAGTGATGGAGTGGCTTGTATTCTCCTTGTCATGCCTCTGCCCTTTCTGTCCCCTCTGACTTAAAGAGAAAAATGAGCTATGTGCGGTTTAAAAATGTCCAAAAAAAAGCAAAAACAGCTACCATGGAGAAAGAGATACAGGATGTCACTGTATCTTTCCTGCTTCTTTATTTGTCTGGTTTTGTCTCTCTTCTCTCAGCTTAGATTGTGTGGGCACAGCTCCCGCCGTCTGTAAACACATTTTGGATTTTGCTCGTGTGTCTGTAACACAACTTCTTCCTTGAGAAACAGCCCCCTTTGCAGCTTTGTTCCTGTAATTACAGTGCAGCACAGGATAGACTGGGAGAGAAGAGCCATAATTAGGATTTTTTCAAAAAAACATTTCCTGTGCTGACTACTGATCTCCTGCCAGTCCTGCACTGCTGTCTCTTGAATAGTACCTGCCTCCCTTCTGAATGTAATGCCACTGATGAGGCCAGCTGTCACAAAAGCACAGTTTGCCTCCTTTTTGCTTTGTGGAAAGCTTCTTTTTTTTTTTTTTTTTCTTTTTTCCCCTGCCCCTTTCCCCGACGGTGTTGTCAAATGAAGCTCACTGTAAAATGACAGTGCTCCGTGCTGCTGTAGCATTTCTCATCTCAAGCTTTCGTGTTCCCTGCAAACAATCAGTATGAACTAGCTAGATTTTAATTTTTATTCATTTTATGGGTGGGCAGACTCATTTTTCTTAGATTTAAATTAGGGCTATGGATAATTTTTTCACTTTTTTTTTTTCTTTTTTTTTTTTTTTTTTTACTTTAGCTATAGCTTTGGAGACTTCTGATGCATTTCTTTTTCTAAATAGCTACCACTTGGAGGAGGTTGGTGTAGAGAAATGTGACGTTTAGATCTTTTGTAGTGTCCCAGTGCTAAAGAGTTGTGGCAGCACAACCTGCCCGGAGAAACTCCTTCCAGAAGGGATTTTCCGTGTTGGCAGACAGACAATCATTCTAGTTCCTGCAGCAATTTCCACGACAGTACAGAAGGCTTCCAGTGGAGTCTAGAACCAAGGCTCCTATGTAGGTCTAACGACAGCTCCTCTTGCACATAGCCACCTTCCAGATTCCTGGAATGACAAGTCCAAGTCACAACAAGAAAAGTAGGTCAGGTTTTCCTAAAGTGCAATGACTTTGGGGCAAGCTGACATTTGAGGTTTATAGAACTGATACACCATTTCCCTTACAATAATAAATTGTTTTAATGGGAAAGAAAAATCAGCACTGGTCTCTTGTTGCGCAACTTAGTGCATCTCTAGTATCTGAACATGCAATTTGTAAAATTAACTAGACCTCCAGCTTGTTGGAGCTTCATTTTAGATTCTTATTGCTCTTATTAACCTAACATAAAAAATAGGCCTGGTTATTACCTTAATACACACTTTGGCTCTAGTCATACATAGACCTGGCAGGTCAGACAGCCCCTATTTCTCCATGATTCCTTGTACCAAGTGTTTGATTTTTCTCAGACCAGATTTTTTTTTTCTTTTTCCCCAGGAAGATACCAACCAAGAAACTGGTGTTGCCCATTGCTTTCCAGAAAGACCACACTGGATTTGGGCTCTCCATCCGGACAGATTCCCGAGCTATCAGGAGGAGAGGTGCGTGGGGAGCAGCCGGGAGCGCAGCGTGCCCAGCTCCGTGTGCCTCCCACCAGCAGCTCTCGCCTGCCCAGGCACGCATGGAGCACGCCGTGCTGCCTGATAGCGTATAAATCCACCAGGTGTGTGCTCAGGACAACATTTCCTGGTATCCCGGGTGCTTTTTGGCTACGCCAGAAGCCGTACTTAAGGAATTACTGCCTAGTCTGGATGGTAAATGTGGTCTTCAGCATGGCAGCGTGCATTTCTCAAAGGTCTGCAGAGATGTAGCTGCAGCCTCCTCTTTGCTGATACTTTCCCTAGGTCTGATCAAGTTCTAGATGACTCAAATGACATGAGAAATGATGGGATATCAAGTCTCAGTGGGTAGTGACCCTATAGTTAGGTACAAGCAGATATTCCCCACTTGGGGCAGGAAAGAGGACCATCACTTTTGAAGCATAACGTTTGATTAAACACAAAGAAACCTTTTTTTTCTAACCAACTTCACCATTAAATACTCAAGTAAGACCCTGTAGAAGGGTCACTGTGCATCACTGTCCTATTGCTGAGTCAACTGAAATATTTTTTTCCTTTATAATTTCCCAGGATCTACCAGGTTGGGCTGGTTACTTTGTGTTTTTATCGTCCTATTATTTGGCATTCAAATGCGTGCAGTCATTGAAGCGTTTGTTGGTTTCCTCATTTGAATTATCCATGCAAAGTTGATCTCTGGTTTTCAAACGCCAGTTTGCTCAGATGTTGGCCGCTTAGTTTCCAGAACATTCGCAGTGGATCTGCAGTGCTGGGGAAGCTGTTCCATGTGCTTTTTTTTTTTTTTAGGCATCATCCCTTCATCACGTGGGGAGACGAAGCAGGAGGAGCTGCTCACCAAGTATAAATGTCTGTAGAGCAAGAACTGCTATTAGTGTGTCAGTTTTTGAAGTCTTGCTTTAATCAGTGTGCTTTTGTAAGGGCTTCAGAAACTGCTCATACTCTTGGCATCTTCTGTTTTCCCTGCATAGCATGTTTATATCTACAACTGTGGTTTTCTTTCTAGTGTTTTTTTTTTTTTTAACCATCCCTCTGAGGACAACCCTTGATACTTCTTGCCCTGATGATGCACTCATCATCTTAAAGCTGTGTAAAACAGATCTAAAAGGCACCGTGTCAGGTTGGGTGTTTGTCCCAGCCTTGCTAATGCTGCTCGAAGTCAGCAGGCAGGTTGGTGTCAAAGATAAATTATTAAGATAATTGACCATGCGTTCAAATTTTTTTGGAGTTATTCCACATTTTAGGGTGGGCATTTGCTCAGATCGGCCATTGTAGTTTGGATTATGTATTTTAGTCTCCCTAATGCTACTTTTCATGCATCTAAGTCTGATCAGCTTACTAGACACCAACGTTAATTGCTTGAGTTGGGTGAATTTACTCAAGTTCTGCATGACAAATCAGACTGAGAGTGGTATTCTCACTGTTTTTAAAATATCTGGGATAGGTAGAAATAACTGGCAGCCCTTCCATGTGTCTCCTTAAAATTTCTCTTTGCTGCCATCTCTTCCCTCTAAGACCTAACAAAGCACCACGTTCACATCATCTTCAACCCCTTCTTCTCTCAGGTACGTGACTGTTCTGTTTGCTGTCTGTTTGTGAAATGGTTTGAGCTCATCTAGGGAAGCCAAAGTATTTTTATCACAAATGTAGATGCCTGAATTCCAGCAAGGGCCTCAGCACTTTCCAGCACATCTGCAAAAAAAAAAAAAAAATTAAAAAAAAAGGAAAAAAAAAGGGGGTGGAATGGCAGGAAGGAAGCTCCATCACAACCACCTTCCTTTTGTATCTGCTCCCATCACCCTATAGTCACTCAGGCCCTGGCTCCAACCTTTCAAATAGCTCCCATCTGCTGCTGCAAACGATGTGAGTGCTTTCAGGCACCGTGGTGTGCTTGGATACCTGCTACCTGTCCTGTCCCATCCCTGGGGGATGCATCTTCTTTTCTTGCAGTATTCCAAAATCAGCTGGACTTACCCTACGCCTGCTGTATCCACTGACACAGGTGTGGTTGCCAGCAATGTGGACAGCGGCAAGTAAACAGGTGCAAGTATCACAGATTAGGAAAGCCGCTTTAAATTTAATAGCCCAACAGTTGGTTGGAGTTGAAACAATCCCAACGGAAATAATCCCCCTGCATGTAAACCAAGTCTACGAGGGAAAATGCGATGTGGCTGCTGGCGGCCCCAATAAAGCAGGGAGATGCTGAGGATTTCTGGCCAAGAGCTTGTTTGCCACGGAGGCTGCACGTCTGCAGCCGTGGCTGGGTTGTGCCCCCTGAGCCCTGCTGGTGGGAGACCTCTGCCCGTGCCAGCAGCAAAGCCGAGACGCCGAGAACTTTTATTCCCTGGGGCTACTGAGAAGCCGGGGCGCTTTGCATTTCATAAGAGCAAGGGTGTTAATTGCTGGATGCGTGCACGTGTCGCTCCTATCAGCAAGGGTCAGCCGCCCGTACGGTGGCCAAATGCACCTACAGGCATCCGATGCTCTGCTATCACCCCCTGAAAATAAATAAAATAAAATAAATAAAAGCAGAGCTCCAAGCTTTGCTAGCTGTGGTTGGGGTGCCCCAGTTTGCCAGCATGAGGTAATGCTGACACCTTGTCATTTGCATGCGTGTTCTACTTTATGAGGTGGTAATGAGGCTGTGTGCCGGCCTGGTGTCTCCTCTGCAGTTGTGTGCTCGCCGTCACCCACATCCTCGCTGCCTGTGATTTGAATGAGTAATCCCTGGCGTTTGTTTCCAAGCAGGTGGCTCTGGCACACCCTGACTCCTGCATTCAAATACAAGAGGAAGGTGCAGGAAGGGGGTGCCGTGACCTCATTTCATGGAGCAGGACCAGTGCTCCACCTGGTAAAGGCACAAGTGGCACCACATGAGCTTGTCTCTGGGTGCTGTAGATGGAAGGGATGCATGCAACCGAAAAGATGGATTGCTACAGGGAGAGCAGGCACTCCCTGACCTTCATTTTCACATTAAAGACAGATTCAGACCAAAACTCACATCAGATTCTTGACAAATTGTTGGAAGTTTAGTCACCTGCCACAAAACTGCATCTGGGCTTGATGTTCCCAAATATTCACACCATGAAACCTCTGCCTGAGTCACGCAAATGCTGAAGCTATGTGGCAACATGAGGTTGGAGCTCTGTGAATTTGGGCCCAAATTCTGCTGAGTCTCCTGTGACTGTGTGCTGTGAAGTTGAGCTGAGCTGCCCTGAGCAGGAGCAGGGCTGTGGGATGCTCTCAGGTCTAACAGACGCGCGTTCCTCCGAGCAAAATGCTGCTCAGAGTACGGCGACCCATGGCTGACCCTTCCAGACATTGTCTCTGTGCTGCATATTCATAGACTAATGTTGTTTAGAGATTGGCAAAGCTCATTAAGTAACCTAATTTTTACAGATGCTTTTGGGCTGCTGCGGGTGGTACTAGTCGGTTGTTGTCTTTTTTTTTTTTCTATGAATTGCTGTGTTACATCCTCCCATCCCTGCCATGAAGCCTCCATTTCAAAGGCCAGGCTCTCTGCACTGCTCCGGGGGTTCCCTTTCTGCCTGGGAGAGGTGGCGACTCGGCAGCTTTTTGTCTGCTCTTCCAGCTGAGAAAATGGATGTGGACCCGCTATGGACACGCGCTGGATTTTTCATGGGGGATGCTGTACCTGAGCCACACGGCAGGTGAGTGCTGCAGCTCCTGGCCCAGCCCGAAGATGAGGAGGGAAGGTGGCACTAGGAAAATTCTGTCCTGGCTCAACAAAAGTCTGGAGGCTTGCATTAGGCCACTCACTGTTTTTACAGACTGGAGGACTCCCCCAAATCTAACTTAGGTGGTGAGCCCTTCTGCCCCCAGCACACAACCCCCAGCTCAGCACGGAGGCACCTGTCTTCACCCAAGGCTGGTAATCAAATAATCGATGTGCATATTCAGCCCAACCCAGAGCAATAATTTGCACAAAATAAAACAGCAGCATTGCATGTCCAATAAGGTAAAGCAGGTTGTTTGTTTCTTTTTGTTTTTTTTTTTTTTTTCCTAATTCTGAAGCGTGTCTTAGCAGTCAGTGCTAAATGCAGCTGATCTTTGCTGCTCAAAACAGGAGGTTAATCAGGGTGTTAGATCTGTTTTTGCTCCACGGCGGTCTGTTGCTTTAAACAACAGGCCGTTGTATCAGACTCATGTGAAAAAAAATACCAGGAAACAAGATTTTTCAAGCTGCTCATGAAGGCGGTGTGTTTGCTCAGCACCGCATGGATTTGTGTGTCAGAGGAGCTGGTTGCGTGCAGTAAGCCAGAAATCGGAGCAGTTTTCGTTTCTTTTCCCTCATCGTCTTATCATCAGTAAAAATTGCAGGGTCAGAGCTTTGAAATTGTTTAGTTGCTTCTTTTTTTTGCAAGTACAGAAAGAAGGTGTGTTTCTGTCAGGTAATTCAACTGGTTTCTGCCTCTTTTTGGAGTCTCCCTGCTCTGTTAGGTGCAGTGCTGGGAAGAAACAGCAGGCACGGCCAGCAGTGATTGCAGGCATGTGCTTTCCGTGGAGCACGGTCACCCCGTGCAAAAGCAGCTCAGCCAAAATCTGTGCCATTCTGGCAACACAGAGCAGCAGCTTTGAGATAATCCTTAAGGACTTAATCTGTCAATTTTTACTCCCAGTTTGCTTCTAAATATTTACAAGAAGAAAATACGTCAGGAAGTGCTTATTTCCAATTTCAGTTGTGGGTGTGAACCCAGGCTTAACCGTATCCAGGACATTTGCTTATCCAGGACAATTAAAATTGGGAAAATAGCTCAGAATCAAGCTTGACAAATCTTTAAGTACCTGTCTCAGTTGTTTCAACAGTATGCTTATAGCTCAGTAGAGCTTTTGATGGTGAGATATGGCCCGTCTGAGTGTTGTCCTACCCCGGTTTCCAAACCAACAGGCTATCAACATCAGCAAAAAATGAATGGAAGGAGTAGAAAAGCTCAAGTTGCTCATATATATGTGTGTGTGTGTATAATTACGGTCATATATCAATATCAGAATGGGCAGGTGACCTCCTCTGTGCACTCTGCTGCTTTTGTTACAGCAGAGCTGAACTTACCCAGGAAAGATGGATGTGAGGTGGGCAATGTCTTATGGATAACCTTGGAAGGAGAAAAGCACCACATGCTAAGGCAATATGAATAACTGTAGATAAAATGGGTTATTTGTGTGAGCAGATTGAACAAAGTTGGGACTCTCTTCCTCTAAGAAGGCACAGGCTGTGGAAGTTTGATGGTGCAATATTTAGGAAAACAACGCAATCCCAGTGGCAGAAGTGGTCAGCTGCCAGGATACTGCACTTTCAGAAATACTGCACTTCAGGGAGAGAGCTGCTGTGTGTGGTCCTAGGAAGGCTCAGCAAGGCTTTTAATGTGGGAAAAATTAAAAAAAAAAAAATATCTATGAAGGATTAAGCAATGCCATGGCTGCCTACCAAAGTTAAGTTTACTGGGACGAAAGCGGCCAGCCCAAGCTGTAGCAAAGTTGGCTAACCCAGCTGGTCTAAAGGTGCTTTCCTGAAGCTGATGGCAAAATTCCTGCTGTCCTGGATGCGAGCAGGTTTGAGTATAGCCAACATAGTCTGAAATAAGATTTCAGATGGGTAGATTTTTTTTTCCACTGATCTAAACAATGTATTGCTTTTTAGGGTCTTTTAGGGTATGTTCTGGGTCTTGTACGTGACTCTGAGTTGTAAGATTCTGTTCGCTCTGCTTGCTGTATGCCTGCTCTTGCTATAATCTGGAGCTTGCATGCTCTGGGGAGTGAAAATTATGCCCATTGTTCTAGTTTTTGTGGGTATTTGTGCTGCAATTCACTGACTTGATCTGCAGCAAACCTGTTTTTAACTGCAGATCTCATGTGGAAGATTGTTCAAAAGGCAAGGTGTGTCTCCCTGATTAGCTGAGTTGAAGTCACCTGACCCTGAACAAATAGTTCCTGACCCGAATTTTATGTTAACTCTATTTACTTAATATAGAAACGTTAAAATTGGGCTGCAGCGAACTGTGCCTTTAACCATTTCCTTTCTTTCGTGTCATTTGTAGGTTCATGGAGGATCAAACTTAAGGATCATCATGAAGCTTGGCATCCTGCTGTGGATTTGGTGGTTTTGCTTCTGGGTCATTTTTCCTCCGTGGCTTCGTCAGCTTGCCAGGTGCAGGGTTTCGAGAAAGCAGGTAGATGCAAAGCTGTTACAACACGTCGTGGAAGTGCGATGGGAGGGAGACGCTTACTCACGGAGCCGTGCCGTGGGCTGGTGATTCAGATGCCTGCATGCCATCAGCCCCGCACCACGGGGCTGTGCTGGGGAGGCACGAGCAGGAGGAGGGAGCTGCCGCTGCTGGTAGGTGCTCACCCCTGGCACGAGGCAGTGGTGAAGTCAGGGCTGCATTTGCAGTGTCACGCGATGCAATTAGGAAAGAGCTGCTCTGTTGGTGACTGCTGTCTGAACCGGCAAGCCCACATCAGAATTGAAACCGTCTCTGCGTGGGCAGAGATGTTGACAGTGCCACTCGGTTGCCCAATAGGTTCCCGCTTACAGATCAAGCTGGTCTGAAGGGAAAAGGAATACTGCTTGCCCTAATGAAAAGATAGGGTTTGTGGGCGAGGAGAAGAAAACCGGATCGATGTTCAGAGGTGCTTTGCTGGACTGTGTCAGCTGGAAAAGCTTGGCTGCTGCTGCTAATTCTTGATGGGCAAATGGAGGTAAATAGTATGTCAGCCATTCTCCTTCCTCGTGTGATCTTAGCTAAGTGGCTTTTCCCTCAGCCTCCCTTTCTTTACATGTAATAGATGCTGTAGCGGTTGAGGAAGTTGGTCAATCATTCCAGCAAAATAGTGTGGGATTCTCAGCTATTGCCTGCGTTTAGGCTGTGGTACTGGGGTTGTGTCTACATGACCTCCTGCAGGTTCATGCCAGCCTTGACCCTGCTAACCCAGCAGCCCTGTTACAGCTCTGGTTCATGGTGACTTGGCCAGCCTGTGGTCTGGTACCAGCCTACCTGCCCTTACCGCCAGCTATGCACATCTTCCAGCAGCTCTGAGCACAAGGAGGTGGTTCACGCCAGCCACCAAAGCACGTTGGGCCCTTAAAATCCCACACCCAGCATGAATCAGGCCCTCTGAAAGAAGCAGTGCTTCTGCCCAGCTGTGAGCACAGGCTTTGTGCTCGTGGTTGTTCCACGAATTGATTGACTACCAGAGCTTTCCAAAGCAGCTCAGCAGCTCACTTGGTTTTAGAAATCCGCATTTGAAGAACAAAGGTCTGTATGGAGATGAAGTGTGATGACGTGAAATGAAACTGCGTGCAAAGGGGAGAACATTTGTCAGGGCTGCTCTGCAGAGCCATTAACACGACCACCAAGCTCCGTTTACCTGTCTGGGACACGGGAGCAGTTGCTGGGCCTGTCTGAATGTACAAGAGATTAACAGGGCAGGAAAACACCTGCTTCCACTTAACTGATCTGAGAGGAAACAAAGGGCAAGAAAAGCTACGGCCTGAACAACGCAGGATTGGATGAAAGCTAATATGCAGCTTCAGATTGGCAGTTGGCAGCCATAACCCTCAATTTAAAGCAGCTGAGAGCCCCAGCTCTTTAGATCTGAAATCTTGCTGCTATGAAGATGAAAGACTTTGTTTTCCCTCCTTTTTTTTTCCTTTCTTTCTTTTTCTTTTCATTCAACTGTGGCCAAATGGGGAGCAGGCAGATGGGAGTCCAGGCAAACCCAGGTGCTGAGTTGCTGCACTTGATAATAGGCAGCGAGGAGTGGCAGGCAACCCTGCCAGAAGGAAAGGCAGAAGTGTGCAGATCCTTGTGCAGGAGCTCAGGGACCCCCTTTGGTTTCCCTGGTGGGAAGATGAGGTTGATTGGGACTCATTGATGAGTACAATGTAGGCTTTAGTGTCGATAAGGGATGGACATTCTGGTCGTAAAGAGTGGATTCTGGGGCCTCTCATTGATTTTGGTGGGTCTGGCTGCTTGGTGTCTCTGCAAACAAGGTTTTGAGGAAGGTTTTATAAGTTGGATTCTCAAAAAATAATGTATTGAATCAAAGAGCATTGAAAAGGTGAGCAAAAAGGCTAGACAGTCCTTATTCGAGGCTCAGCTCCGTGGCCTGGCTGTGTGAGCTACATTTCATTCACAACTTGGGCTCAGCATCGTTTGAAGTATGCTGTCATTAGGCTCGTGTTTTAACTCTGTTTGCTTTGATTGCAGCAGGAACGCTTCTGCTGGCTGTTAACAAACTGGTTACACCAGGGATACCCACCACAACGCCGCAGACCAGGCCCCTTGAAGGCTGCTGTGCAGTGATTAAAGGAACGGCCCCTGGCCTCTCCTGGGGCTCTCTTCAGTGCCAGGTTAAAGGGTTTTGGGGTAGGGAGGGTGCCTTACCTTTCCCTCGTTCACCAGCTTGTGCCCTATGGAAGCATAATTTAAGTCTGGCAGATTGGATGGTTGGCTCCAAGTTAGCATGTTTGCAAAAAAGGGAAAAACAGAAGGCAAGGCTTGTAGGATCATAAAACTTTCTTTCTCTGTTCAAATAAACACGCGTTAGCCTGACTTGCCTGCCTACCACTTCTGTCATCTTCAGAGCAGTAAAGAAACAGCGAAACGTACCCGTGACCTTACACAGCACCACTGGCAAAACGTGTTTTAGCTGCAGAGTGTTTGATTGCATGCGAGCTGTCCCTCCAGGTTATTGTACCTCTCCAAAGGCTGCAAGGAGCAGTGCGCTTCTCCCCTCCTCCTTTGCTTGCTTAACTTGTTAAGACATGGAAGGTTACTCCTGCTATGACTCCTATTCCTGACCTGACAGGTGGTGCCTTGCACTGAACTTTGCTCTCACAAACGCAGTTGGGTTTCACGTATCAGCCTCCCATTTAGCGGGCTCGCCCCATCTGCACAGAATTCGGCAATTCTGGCAAGGTGTGCTGCTGCAGTCACCCCTGCTGCTGGGCTGGGGAGTGCTGCTGAGCGCTTGCTGCCCAAAAAAACACAGGCTGGGGATGCCACGCGTTTAATCTCATGCCTATAGCTCTGTACATTGTGCAGTGAGCTGCTGAGCGCAGGTACGAAGATGAAAGAGGCGGAGGTGATGCAGGAAGCGATACTGCTGCCTGCAGATGAAAGGAGGGAGCACCTTTATGGATCTGCCCCAGTGTGACCCCTCGGTGCTGGGCTGCGCTAGGAACAAAAGAGCTGTAATATTGGATCAGAAGTCCAACGTGCTTGGCAGCCTGATTTCCAGAACTACATAATAGGAACTTATGGAAAAAAAAGATACGTGAACTGCTAAGAGGAGTGGCTGTGAGATAGTTTGTTGATGGGAGATGTTTATTTTTGACACAAGAAATGCTACGTTTGAACTGTGTGTCAAGGAGTCTTTGCCTTCTTTCTTTCTTTATCCCACCTAAAACCATGGGTGTGCTCCTATAGCCAGGGTTAGTGTGTTTTCACCTATCTGAGCATTTGCTTCCTACCAAAGTTTTGGTGTCAGTGACATCCTGTGGTGTAGAATTACACGTAATTGGGGTGGTATTTTGGGGCAAGATTCCTGTGTGCTTCAGCTTATCTGCATTTACCTGAGGAAGAATTATTAACGTGAGGATTTGGTTTGCAGTCAAGTGGTTGTGGCCCAGATGTAGCCCAATTGTTCTGATAACAACAGAAATGGACGTTGCAGTAGAAAGCGTAACAAGTTGCACGTTAATCTTGTTAAAGATTAAAAATATGTAATAAGGTCTTCTCCAGAGATGTACTTCATGGAAATTATAATGTGCAGAGCCAACACCTTCAGCATAAATACATCCTAACAGTGTGCCAGGAATTAAATATTATTTCAAGGATAGTTTATATCTCTTGTTACAAATAAATAAAGTGGGCAAGTGTTTGCCCAGTCTAGTTACCTTGTGCATTGGGTTTTGCTGCTGTAATAGGGTCAAGCTTATAAGAGCAGGAGGAGCATTTGCATCCCTGGAGCACAAAGGGGTTTTGCATGTATAGACTGCAGACTTTGGGCAAAATGCTATTTGCACATGCTCCAAATTAGTTAATTTACCTGTGTAGCAGTTTTGGACCTGCATTTGAATCTCTCGGAGTCTGACACAGGGTACCTGCTGCTGAGCTAGTTTCCTGGCCCATGGAATGATAAAAATCTCAGCAGCTTGGCTTTGAAAGATCATAAAGCTCTTGAGAAGCCTCACCTCAGCATACAGGGGAAAAAACTTGTTTACTATTGCTGCTAGAAGAGAATATGAGAGGCTCAACAGGCCAGGTCATTAAAAAGCACCAGTAGGTCCTGTATGGCTTAGTCCTCTGCTGCATTTTATGTATGCCACGAAATGCTGCTTCTACTTAATGCTATAAATCATTTATTGAGGACTTGAGCACTTCTGAGTCCAGCTGATACAGGACTATCTCTGATCTAAACAGGCTGTTAAACAACTTTTGAAGAATAGAAGTGAAAATTGTTTTTAATTTCACAGCCTTACATGGCAACATAGTCCGCCGGCTGTCAATAGTTGTACCAGCTGAAATAGGAAGGTGTGAGAAATCAGAGCAGTGGGCTGGACCATAACAGCTTGGATGTTCTGGCTCTACAACAGATTTTTCTGTATGATCTCGAGCAAGTCACTTCAGTTTTCTTAATCTCTCTGGTTCAATTCCTCCGATAAAAAACAACATTCTTTACAGATACCTTGAAGCTAACATCATGACCTTTTGTAAGGTACACAGACAGTGCAGATGGGCTGAAAGATATCAAAGACACTAAACCCAGACTCGTTCCACAGACGGATCAGTGGTCAGTCGCATTACCATATGTGAGGTTTTCAAGGGGGATCTTTTAGAGATGTCGAAGAATTTTGTAAACAAAATTAGCGTAACTCTCTCATTGCAGATGCTGGGTAAGTCTCCCTGATCTGAAGCTTCTAGTGTGCTTGCAACAAGGTACAACAGCCACGTACAGATAGGACCGAGATGACAGTGACGTGTTTAGGTGTTTAGCGTTGCCATCAAGCAAGTATGTCATATGTAAATAGCCTTCGTTTGCAAACAAATGGCGCTTGTGTACTAATCAAGGCCAGAGTGCAGTTTATTGCAGATAAAAAGTAATTTCTTGTTGTGATAACAGAGAGGTTCATTTGCAGTCATTTCTTGTCTTTTTCTGCGGAAAGATATGGTTGTCTTATTCCGTCACAAAACTCAGTTCTGTGTTGCCTGTCAAGGCCAGCTAGAAGCCAGCTGCAAGAAAACAGAGGCCAGAAAAGAGCGGTTGTGGGGAGTTCCTAAGGATCCAGTCTCTTGGACTGATGCTATGTAGAGGATAAGGACCATTGCTCAAACCTAGGGGTGGCTCAGATAGGTCACTGAAAAAAAAAATAAATCAGAATTGGGAATGACTTCTATGCTGTAACTCAGGCAGGATAGAGGTGGTGATGCTGTTTACAAAAGGAGGGGGAGGCTTGTAATTCATATATACTGATATAATTCATGTACCAAAGCCACGTCCCAGCCATTTTCTGATGCTGGAGAAAATATGTCTGCTTGTGTCCCAGCTAAGATAATAATCTACATCTCTGATGCTCACGTAGGTTAAAATCTCAAATAAATGTTGAAGTGTCCAGATGGCCCAACGTGGAAGTAGGCTACATCTATATTGTCATACAGGATGGTGTTGCAGCATATGCTGACAGATTTGTGCTAGTTTTATTAATTTGGCTGTTGAATCGCTGTCAAGACAGCTGAAAAGATCAAAGCAAATGAATCTTTTGAGACATGTAGGGCTCTGGCACCAGGATTTTACCACCTGTGTCGTGGCCAATGTCACTCCAGCATCACACGTGTTAACAAGCGCTGAGACGTGCCTCCACAAACCTCTACCCCACGTCACGGTGCATGTATCCCATTGGGATATGTTTTTAGGAGGTTGGTAGTTTCCTGTAGATTATAGATGCTATCTATGCTAACTGCCGTCCAAAGAATTGGACACTGAAATCCTGTATTTGGATTTCTGTTTATTAACTTTGACTTCTAAATTCCTTGGAGGGTGCGCAAATGCCGATTGGGATGCTGCAGGCATAAGTTTCTTCTCCAAAACGCTGTGGGCTAGATTTGTCCCAGACAAAAACACGTGTCTTGAAGCGACAGCTCCAGCAAGTGGGAGAAGAAAAGGAGAAAGCCAGCTTGCTCTGAAGCACAGCCGAGAGTATAATCAAACTGCAAATTGTATAACACCTTGCAGGAGAAATCAGTCTTTCGCAACTAAAGGTTTCCAAGGTTTCTCTTGAGTTAGCTGTGGGGATAAGTTGTGTCTTAGGGGAATTCTTCTGCCAGTTGGGCTAATTAACATGATAATTTGTTGTTTCATTAGCTACATCTTTCATGGGAAATGAGTGCATTTCCTTCATAACAAGGAGAAAACATTTCACTTGTTTTTCTTTTCTCATGACACTGCTGAGAATTCACTGAAAACTTCCTTGAAAAGGGCTGAAACTGGTGTAAAGAAAGCCACAGTCTGGATTTGTTTTAAATGCAGTTATTAATCATAGCGAGGAGTGAACACTAGTTCTGTATCAACCCCTTTCCTACATCCTTCAACACTTTCAAAACAAGGTTATCATGGAAGAGATTCCACTTGTCAGCATCCCAGAAGCATTTTGTACAGGGAAAGGGGGGAAATATGGCTCTGTCGATTGTAGCCAAAACAGAACTTTTTGTCAGCATTGAGAATGGGATTTCTACCTGGCTACACTAGGAGTAAATACCACAGAGGTCATGGTGCCTGTGACTGGATGTAGGAATCCAGTCGTAGGCTTCTGCTCTTACTAGCTTGTGTATCTGTAGACTTGAGTTATGGTTGAACTTTTTATTAATTTCTGAAATAATTTTGGATGTCAAGACTATATGGTGATGGGATTCAAGCTGCTCTTAAGATTTCAAAAAAAAAAATAAAAATCAACTCTTGTGAATTTACCAGCAAAATTACGTGCGTGTCCTTCAGCAAGTCCTTGCATCTGTGCCTTAGGTCACCCATGTTTGGGAAAGCGATCATCAACCCACCCATGTAACTGCTATTCCATTCCAAATTGGGTGACCTAGGAGTGTTCCAGTTGAATAATCTGATTTCTAATTCAACGGGTGTCATATTCTGGTTGACTGAAAATGAGTTGGTTTCTAAAACACTTGAGCCATCTCCACACTGTTGAATGCCGCTTCCTCCTGAACCCTTGGGTGCCTGCAGACCTCTATTCTTCTCCCCCACATCTTGGGGGTGTCTAGAAGGGGTGCGAGGCATACTTTGGAGCAGTAGTGCCAAATTCAAGTGTAAACTCAATAAATAGTTGAATCTTTGTTCACAGCAGCGGTGGGGAGACCCGCGTGCCCCCGGAGAGGCCGGTGTGTGCAAGGCAGGGCTGCAGCACGCCAGTCGGCCTGGCTCGGCCGCTCCCCGAGCGGAGGACACACCTGTTAATAGCTAGAGGCCATGAGATTGGTTGGACGCGAGGAATGCACCTGCGCAGGGAGGGGTGAAGGACTACATGTAAGACGAGCCCGTAGACACTCGCCGTCTCTTCTCAATTCCAGCTTAAACAAGCAACAGCGCTCTGGGCTGCGAAGAAAGCCATGCGTGGTTTCATCCTTTGCTTTCCTTTTTTATTTTATTTTTTATTTTTAAATTTGATTTCAGTAGGCTGATACGATTTAGAAGTGTTGTTTTTTTTTTTTCCAGGTACAGTTGTATTTTATTTTTAATTTTTTTTTTTGTCTTCCTTCGTTTCGCGTGAATCTCGCTGCGAATGCCTCTCGCTCCGAGTTCGTCTTTTCCAGGACACGGAAAGATCAGGCGATGGAAACCCTGGCGTGCGCTCTCCTGACGGTCATTGCGTCCTTTTTGTTACCTCTCGAAGGCTGATGAGCTTGGTTTGGGAAAAGGTGGTTGTGCTTCCACGCTGAAGTTACTTGAATGTGTGTGTGTGTTCATGGTCCTGGTAAGCCTTTAGAGTCCAGGTGCTGTGGTAAAAATGATCTGCCTAGCATGCAGCATGACTTCTTTGATGCCTTTCATGCCTACGTTCATCAAAATTCTCCTTTCAACTTCACTTTTTTTTAGGGCTCTGTCCTCTTTTCTCTTCCTCCTTTTCTCCCCAGGTAGATTAAAGAGGGTTTTGTTGTAGGGATCAGGTTTTGTCTGCTGGGTTCTGGGGGAGGGGGAAGCGGCGCATGAATTCGAACGTTCATTTTCCAACCAGCAAAACCAGTCAGGGCAGGTAGGAGCAGAACCAAGAAACCGAATAGGAGGGAGCCATGGGGGAAAGCCAGTTTCACCGAGGTGTCATGGAGAGCTTGGAAAAAAAGACGCCTTCGGAGAAGTTTTATGGCGACTGAAATGAGATTAGTGTACATTTTAAAGAGATCTATGGAAAGAGAATTGTTGCATTTCAACGAGCACCTTGTTGGGTACTGCTAACAGTGACCCTTTGAAATGCAACGTGCTAGAGGCTCCTTTTTGATTTATTTGTGTCGATTGCCACTTTTCAGTTAGTTTTTAAACTAACTGGCATTTGAATGTATTTTATTGTATTCGCAAAATGCCCAACCCTCTAGTTTTAGACGTACGCTCGTTACTTCTGCTACTTTGGAGCCAGAATTAATTCCTCAGCTGCTGTGCTGGAAGTGAAGGAAATTGATTGGGAACTTTTCAGCCGCCGTTGTTGTTCAGGTGCAAGGGGAGATCTCGTTCTGCTTCAGTCATCGGTTTCCGCTCATGGCACGGAGGAGCCATTTTGGGTTCGTTTTGTTTATTCTTTTCTTACCTGAGGCTTTTGTGTGTGTGTGTGCCTGGCAAAACGAGCATAATTAAGTCTTCTCCCCGTTCTCGCGCTAGTTCGCTCTCGTTGCGGAGGGAGCGGTGCCAGCTGCGACTAGCCTTTACTTGCGCTGCCTGCTTGGACACCAAAGAGGCAGAAGACAAAACAAAGTGGTTTGCTGCGTTTTTGAAGTGTTGAAGTCTAGTAGTGGGCTGGAGGCAGTCGCTGCGCCGCTTTCTCAGACGGGCAGATCGAGTCGAGGTACCCAAAAAGCCCCCTCTCGGCTTCTCCGCTTGGGTCGGCAGCTGGAGGGCGATGCTGTTGACGTGGTGAATTTGGATGGAGGAATAAGAGGTGTTTTGTAAGCAAGCAGGCTTCTTGTATAATGCGTCTACCCGGATTCAGGAAGAGGCTCTGGGCTGGCTTTGCAGACACTTTGCAGTCAGCAGAAAATGTTTGCTCACTCGTTCCCTCCACCCCTTTGGTAAAACAGCCTTCGAGAAAGTTCTGCGAGGCACCGAGCTGGGCCGAAATAACGCCAGGGGATCCGGCTTCTCAGAGCCAGGGAGCTCGAGCTTGCCCTGATTTAAATGCTGTTTGATTTAACTGATTTCAGGAAGGGCTCTAATGGCTTGTTTCTGAAAAATTTTGTCAGGATCGCGTGAAATACTGCTAGATTATGTACCCCCTCCTTTCCAGTGAGGTTAATTCTTCATTTTTATTTCTACGTATATTTTCTCCTAGTAATTGCAAGTATTTAAATTCAGATGACTTAACTTCTTCCTTGAAAGAATTATGATTTAAAGATTCTTTTGCTTTGTTCTAGACTCCTCTGCAACAGAAGATTAGTTTGTGCTTGTGTGAATCTCAGAGAACAGTATTACTATTGAAAAATGGTGTGCTGTTCCGTCAGCACACAAATAGCTAGCTAGGAGGTTTTTTTCCATTTAATTTTTACTTTGCAAATTCTGTACTGGTCCCAGTCTTTTTAATTGGCTTTGATCCCCTTTTTAATTTAACTGGCATTGCAGCTTGCAGATGTGGGTGTCTGAATTTCGGTGCCTACACAAAGCTGGAGGTGTTACATGGAAGGCTTTTGCAAACACCTTTGCTTGTGGGTGTGTAAAGGGCTCTCAAATTCAAGGATTTTAATTATTGAATCATTGGTTATTACTAAGTGAGAAATTGAGCTGTTAAAAGACACTGTTTGGTGTACAGGCAACTGAAGTTAAACAATAAAAATGTTACAAACTTGTAGAAAACCATGGGAATGCCAGGATTTTGGAAACTGTTAGCTAAATACCACATTCTGTCTCCTCTTCCCATTCTGCCCAGCAAACAATTATCCTGGTGAAGACATGGAGATTTCTCAGACAAAATAAATTACTAGCCATGGTAATCATGAACCTAATCCTGGCTATTTTAGTACATTTCAGGAAAGCTAAAAATTACAACTTCCAAGTCTGGCATCTTGTAGAAATCGCTGGGGATGACCAGCATCAAACGCCACATGCCAGATACAGTGATGCTATTTGGTATTCCCAACAGAGCAGGGGCTCAGTTTTTCTGTCTGGAGCACCAAGGGAAACGTTGGTCTGTGCAGGGAATGAGTTCAGAGGAGTGTGGGTCCTGAAGCTGACCCGCTGACACAGTTTTACTGATAAAAATGGAGTAAAACTTATTTATTCCAGAAAGGAAAAAAAAATCCTCCGTGGAACAAAGATTTTAATTTAATCAGAATTGAAATGAATGAAAGGGCACATTAAAATATACTTCAGTTACGATATAACAGTTAATGATAGTGTTTGAAAATTGCTTCAATATGACATTCATTAAACTTTAAAAACCCTCCTAGGTTTCCCCTTTTGTGTGAATGTTTGCTCATCTAAGAAATAGGGTTTTCTGAGTGTACTTAGTTGGAGGGGAAAAAAAAGGGAGAAAAGCTGAAGTGCTTATTTTCTACATTCCTAATTAAAAAAAAAGAAAGAAAAAAGCATGTAATGAGATTTCAAATTACAAAAATGTAAATTGGACATAAAATATGAGTGCAATCAGATGTTAATTTGTTAGACATTTTGTTTGCAAAACAAGTTAATTAGAATGTTCTTACCATATTTTGGGCAGGGGAAAGTGGCCCGAGGAAATCACATTTCACAGTCGGGATGCACATTTCACTTTAATTAGGTTTGTTTTTTTTTTTAATGGCTCTGTCATTAGAGTCAGATAAGTCTGTTTTAGGGGCTTACTATTTTTTTTTTTCAATCTTCGGTGGTGGCAGAAGTAATCCCGATCAATAAGCCATCTGAACTCTAGAAACAGAACTTGGTTTGCACTGATGCTTTTAAGCTTTCAGCTAAGCCTGGCTGTCCTTTCCAACTCCAGGTATGGCTTTTATCTGATGGAGCTCCGAGATATAAAGGCTTAAGTTTCACATGCTTTGTTCTTTTCATTGGGCCGTGCCTATTGATTAAGGCTCACCCTGCAGGTTAACCAACAAGTTATTTTTCCCCCCACCGGAGCTGCATTCCTTTCCAGACCTGCAGCTGCCTGGGCAAAGCCGGGCACCTCCGTGTCCCCCCTGGCATATCTGATACCCCATTAATTGATACCCGATTGTTTTAAGGCTGGGGGAACTTTGTCCGCCTACTTGAGAAGCGGGTGGGGGAGGCGGTAAGAAGTAGAAGAGGGGAGGAGAAAGAAAGGTAATATAGGTGCAGAGCTAATTACTCACCATGTTTAAAGAAAAAAAAAAAAGGGGGTGGAGTTCATTTGAGTTCCTTGTTTTCCACTCCTCTTCAGTCATTCTTTCCTTTTTTCTCAAGGCCTGAACATTGGTAATAGTGGTGATGATTAACTAAATGAAGTTGGTAACCTGGGCGACCATTAGGGTGGTTTTATATTTCATGGGTACCGCATAGGCAGAGAAAGCACACTATTGAGGACTCGGAAAAATGAGACTTTTTTTTTTTTGGTTATTTATTAATTTATTTATTTTGTTGTTGTTGTTTTGCTGGTGTTTTTTGCCTTTTTTTTTTTTTCATTGTGTTTCTTTACTTTGTGTTTCGCGCCTGGGTGTTTCACAACGGTAAGGCTACAAGCACCTTCTTCCACGTTTCCCTTCTGCTCCAGTCTTTTTCGTTCCTTCTCTCCTTGATCCTTTGAAAGATCCTGTGTCTGACTAAATTGCAGTTTCCCCTTGTTTCCAGGCCCACCTGGAAAACACTATCCTGGGGAGTAGGAGGAAGGTGAAAACTATTTATTTCTCAATTTATTAGATGTATGCTAGATTAATTGGCTTGGAGATTTATCTTTCATGATGCATCTTACATTTGTCCTGCTTTTGACATAATAACATAGTGCTATTCTCTTGAGACACAGCATTTAATTTCATGCTGTCACCACGCTTGTGTTGAGTGTACTAAAAGCAAGTTCGGTCTTCTGTGGAACAAGAAATTCTCAAAACTTTCAGGCCTCTGGTGGGCATGAATTGTCTGTTTCACTGGCAGACGGAATGTAAGCAGCAAGCTGGTGCCATAGCTTACCGCTTTTGTTTGTTTGTTTTTGAGGGGGTAAATATTAATAATTGTTGTGCTTTGTAGATATGAAGTCTCTCTCAAAACAGACAAGAAAAATAGCTGAACATTATTAGTTTATTAGTCAAGTGAGAAATAAGCAGGCTGTCAGTTTCCAACAAACTATTTTTATTTGGAGAACTAGATGGAAATAAACATGTTGGATTTAGTATTAAAAAAGAGAAAGATCCAGGGTTATGATTTGATGTGAAATGAGGATTCATCTGGGAAATGTGGGCTTTATAAGTGAATGCTTCCTTTTGACTTGTCGTTGTGCAGACCACGCTGGTTAGTGGGATCCATAACTCGTTTGAAAGGTGGCCCATGCCTTTTTGGGGGCTTCTGTGTCTGCGAATTTGTCGTTGCAAGCATTGTGCTGGCTAGAGCAGGTGGCTGGGTTTGCTGATTGTACAGCATGGCCTGTGTCTCCGAGTAACCTTCTTAGGGAACGCTAAGCAAAACATTCAAACTGTGGCCAATTTTTGGCAGCTCTCGCAGAAAAGAGAAAGAATTACGAAGGTTCTTTCCATCCTAGTGTGCAGGGTTGCACATGCTGAAGTGAAGATCAAAATATCACACAAAATTGCATTTAAATATTTAAGCTAGTTTTTATAAAACCATTTTCTCAACTCGTACCAATTGATATTAGGTTCGGTGTTGGTCCTTTGGCTGCCAACAGAGAAAAAAAAATCACATTTTTTTTACAAAGTATAAATTTCCTCTGATTTTTTTTTTCTATTTATCACTTTTGAAACTTGTTTTGTACATGAAGCATCTCCTATGGTACTAAGGAGGAAAATTTAAACAGATGTAGTGTTGTGCAGAAGATAACACAAAGGCTCTTTCTCTTTTCTCTATTCCATTATTGACAGCAGTTAGGCAAACCAAGCAGATTATTATTCATTCAGTGGATTAGCTCTAAAACAGTTCCAGAAAGTACACGGTAAGAATTTAGGTTTTCCTGGAAACTGTTTCACAGTTTTTGTTTGCTACAATCATAATTTTTTTCTTTTTTTTTTTCCCCTTTTTTCCCCTGCAGAAGACAACGTTTTCATTGCATAGTGCTGAGAGGTAGGCCACAAATAATATGAAATTAAAAAATTAATTAAATTAAAAAAAATTCAGCAGCCGTTGTCGGGTTGAATAATGATTAACACAGGAGCAAGGAATGAGGACTGTGTGTTAGAACTGCATTATGCAGCTAAGAAATATGTGCCTTTGTAGTAGTCATCTTAGCGTGTTACCGTGTACCAGCTTATACAGGAAACCCATGCAGAATTGCAGAGGCGTGTAGTTTTGGGTTTTTTAACTCCATTCTCCCCGTTGGTTTAATCTCAAGGTATTTGTCTCTGGTGGAAGTCAGTACAGGACAAGGCCCTAGGAGGTGTCTGATGAGGAAGTCGGTGTAGCACTGATGTACAGTTCTGATACTCCTTTGAGGAGTTTCAACTCCTTTGAAAGTGCTGGGTTGACCTGGTGAGCCAACAACATATTCTTTTGGTGCACTCTGCACCAACAGGGTCCCTGTTTTCACTCAAAACTGAAATGGGGGGCATTACAAAGCACCCATTTAATGCAATCTAGGGCCTCACCCAAGCACAGGACTCTCTTGAGAGCAGTTCTGTCAGAGACCAGAAGCGAAGGAAGCGTGCAGGAAGGGCTGGATGCCTCCACAGGTCTGTTCCAACCTCTGGTCGTATAATATTATACTATTGTCCCTTCATAATAATACACCGAGAGTTGAATCCTGCTCCAGGCTGCCATTCCTGACGTACTGTGAATGGATAGTAAAACGTGTTAGCAGAGGACCTGGTATGTCAAAAGGATTTTAATTAAAAACATCTTTTTTTTTTTCCATTGCTAAAAGGAGAAACAGGACTGAGGCCTTTCACCCGTCCATGGTGAATTTAATCAAGACTGGTATTTTTTTTTTTTTTTATGTCTTTCAGCATGTGTGAAGGGAATTGGTCGATCCAATTTCATTTCTTTAGGAACAGGCGGACCGTAGCTGCACACCCCCTCATGGATTTCTTAGCCTTTTGTTCACAACTGCAGAAGGGAGGGTGAGAAATAGCAGAGCTTTAAAGGTGGATGGGCAGCCGTGTTTCTCTTTAGGCCCTCAGAGAAGTGCCTGGACACCTGGGCTGAGGGTTGCCACATCTGACTGCTGTTTTGTGCTGGTTCAACATGGTCATTGCACCCTTCCCATGCCTTGGTTCTTCTGCCCTGAAGACATCCAAGGTGTTTTTCTATCAGGAAATATGTCAAAGTCAGGAGGGTGAAAGAGTTTTTAAAGGAAATAGCCCTGAAAAAAAAAAATAAATATCTCATTTACTTTCCCTTCTGCCTTTTCCTTCTTCTATGTACACTTACTGTGGAAAGAAGCAAGGCTTTCCTCTGTCACTGCAACATCTCTCATTTCAGATGTTCTCCACCTCTGGTGGGCAGGAGAGATGTGAGAGCTGATAGAATACTGCTTGCCAGTGGTAAGTATGCTTACCACTAGCACTGATTTGTACATTCTGGATACAGAAAGATGCGTACCATTGAATCTCTTGGCAAGATTTGGATTTTACACCTTTTGAAGCATTAGTTCTTGACATTATGTATATGCTTTCTGGCTTGAACATTTGTCTTGGTCCATCTAATATCTCTGAGATTGTTGCAAGGTTTCAGTAGTAAGAAATGGGCTTAAGAAAAGATCCACTGAGCCCAGGAGCAGTGAATTGTTAGCTTAGGGTATATTTTTAGTAGTTTTGCTCTTGTGCTCATGAAAGCAGGAGATGCTACCTTCTAGCTGGGCCACAGATGAAAGTGTTTTGGATCAGGCTGAAATGTTCCTGCACCATCAGAGAACAGCAGGATCGTGCCCTCTTTTCCTGCTGGGTTGATTCCCGGAGCATCATAAACGAAATGGTGGTTGCCTTGAACTGTCCTTATGGCGTCTTTGAGATGGCATCCGAAATGCTAGGTGGGGCTGCTAAGGGTCACGTAGTCTGATCCGAGGCTAGATGGGGTGGCTCAGCACCTTTTCCAGCTGAGCTCAGAACATAGGCAAGGACACAGGTTTCACAACCTCTCGTCTCACCCGAGCGGTGACACCGGTCTGTGACACACGCAGCGTCCTCCATCTCATCTCAGGAGAAGGTGGGGCAATGACTGGGCGCTTGCATGCTCATGTAAAATGTTTATGCATTTTTCCCTTTGCTGTCACTATTTTTACGTGGCAACGTAGTTTCCTGGCAGCTTTCCAAGGTTACCGTGGTGTAAAATGTTAAGATTAAGCAAAGGCCCTGTTGCAGCTTGAAGAGGACATTTTAAAAAAGATAAATCTCTGTGTTCTCTATGAGCTCTGACGCCTCAGGTATTTTCTATTCCAAGTTCGAGGGAGAAAAACATTTCCTGTGTGCCTCCAGTTGTAGTAAGTGCTGGCAAACTCCATCCACAGAGAAGCAAGGACAATTCCATGTGGTTTCTGAGGGCAGAACTAGATGGATAAATTCAAGTTTGTGATCCCACACTCACATATATCGTGATAGCACATATTCAGCAGACTAAGTTTCATCCACAGTGACAAACCTCTCGATGTTCAGTCTGTTGAGGTTTTGGCCTGTGATTCTGCTCTGCTGGATGACTTTTTCTGTTGAAGGTCTGATTTTATTTGTTATGCAATTTAATATTTTTCCCCTAATTATACCTAAGTATCATGTATTTTTTTATAATCTGTGGTCAGTCAAGAAAATTATTGATCTAATATTAAACAAGCACAGTTTTCATACATACCAACCTGATCTGTTAACGCAATCTGAGGTTTTTTTTTTCCATGGAAATCCTACATTTTTGCTATTCCAACTAACATGTAGGCCACTGTAGACAAAGAGCTATTGTTTATTTCTTCTTGCTGACTTTCTTCAGTTGATGTTATTGATGTAGAAAAGACACTTTCTGTTGTAATGGTGAAGTGGAGCATGTTTGTTAGCTGCCTCAGGAAGCTTTATCTTTCTTGGCACTTACCTACCACCAAGGGGCTGATGGCATTCAGTGTCTTCTTGTTAACACCACCACAAAATGTAAAAGAAATCCCAACCCTTCCTCCACCCCTATGTTTTTTTGCAGTGATCTTTTTAGCTGTTCATAAGTTGGCCTTCTGAAACAGAAGGGAAAATCACATGTGTATTTTTGTTCAAATGTCAATGCAAGGGCATGGCACGCAGTACAAGGCTTTAGAGGTTGTGTGGGGTAGCCTCATGGAAGAGCTCTTGTAATGTGACTTGTTGGCATCAGAATTTGACTGGAATTTCTCTTAAGTGAAATTTGAGGAAATGTTTTATAGTACAGTGACCGATCTAAAATATCGGGTAATGCAGAGAATGACATGACAGTTGTACATCTTAAACCAGTGGGGTTCCAGTTGCTCTCCAGCTGCTTTTCACTTTATTTTTACCACCTTTCTACTGAATGCAGTCCTACTGTTCAAATGGTTGCTGTGCAGCACATAGTTTGGGAATGGTTTTCACCTTACTGCAGTTTGGAAGTCTTCATGCAAGCAGTAAGGGCTTTTTTTGCTGTTGTAAATTAAAACACAAGCTCCCTTTGTTCAGAAATTTAGCTTTTTTGACTTAGAGTTATCTGGAATCAAACTAAAATGTCTCTTCCCCTGCTTTCAGCTGCACCTTTTGCCTCCCTGAATGTTGGAGGTCATTTTGTTGTTGCACCCCATCACGAACCACCCCAGTGTGGTTTTGGCTAAGAAACCTAGCAGCTCTGCAGGTAAAGGAGGAAATGGGAGAGGGAGGGAATGACAAACCCCATCCTATACCCACACTGTGGGTGGAAATGGAGATTTCCAACGGGTTTTGGAATGCAATGGAAGGTGTGTTTGTCAGGTGAGCCTCTTTGTGCTGAAGAAACTGTAGTCATGCGTTTAGTTGCTGCAGAGCTTTTTTGGAGGATTAGGTGCGTTTCTTAATGTAATGCTTCAATATCGTAAAAATCTACACATGCAAGAATCTTGTAAACAACGAGAGGATCCAAGCCCTCTGTGTTTAAACACTCGTGTTTTCCTTGTAACAACCGTGCAAAAAATAAATCTGATTAAAACATGACTGAAAGAATCAGCAAACTTTAATTGCTTAATAAAAGCATAGATAAAGCTTAAATGGTTGCAGGTACCAGAAGAAAGGTAAGAGTCATATGCCTAAGGCTTGCATTGCTTCCTGGATTTTGCATTCCCCCACATTTTTAATTGACGTTTCCAGGTAGGGCATAGGGTTGGCTGTAATTGCCCATACCTCAAAGACCGTCTTGTTACAGTTTTCTGCTGGTGAGCGTGTTCCAGTAGGTGTAAATAGAAATGAGAACTCTCCTTGGTAAGTGACAGCTCTGAAGGTTGTGCGTGGGGAGCCAGGGGATGGTGGGAAGAGGTAGGACCTGTGTGTATCGTGACCTGTACAAGTACTTCTGGGATAATTTTTCAGAATGTCATTACATCCTCCTCTCCCACATGAACAGTATTTGGTAATTGTCGAAACCACAAAGGAGGAGGGACAGCTACAGGTAGTGTTTTTCCCCCTCTTTTTCCTTCTCCCAATAATGAGGCTTTCTAGCTTGTGCTATACCTACTGCTTGTAGACCATGATCCTGAGATGCCATTACCATCTTACTGGGCAGCATTGGATGTTTTCTGTTTTTCTAATACTGCCTGGTAATGATGATTATGGTGTTTCGTGTACAACGTGGAAAAGTTCAACAGCAAATTCGGAAGCAGAGGTTAGTGGCCAGTAGAGAAATCCATGCTTGATTGACTGTCGAGCCTCCCCAAGCATGATTAAATTTATAATGAAATGTTTCATGTGCTAGAATAAAAGATAAAAGCAAATATAAGAAAATCTCGTCCTGACTGTAGAATTCTGAAATAATTTTGAAATAATTATGAAATAATTTTATTTTAAATGAGCTTGTAAATAGAAAATCATGCAGAATATAAAGGATAGCATATGTTTGATACTGCAATGATAAGAACACATTCAAAGGAAAATGCTAAGTTTTGTAGCAAAGACAAATGCAAGTGCTCTTCTCCAAATAGATTCTATTTACTTTCAAATTATGGTAGCTTTCAAGAGAATGAAAGAAAACATTTTACTGAAATTTAACATTTGAGTTTTCTAGCTCATAATTTTCTCTCAAAATCAAAATGTTCTTCTCTCTCTAAGTATAAGAAAATTTAAGAAACAAACACCTGAAATCGATAGTGGAATTTACTTTTTCAGCTTTGCTATGGTAACTTACTCCTTCCTTTTCACATAGTTCCTCTAGACTGCTGTCCTCCAGCAAGATGTTCTAATAGCAAAGCCATTTAGTTTAAAATCTTGAATTTTTAAGTAACGTATATGTTATTTCTTTTATTTTTATACAGATATATTTTTATTTCCATTTATTACTTTTTGGTGTGAGAGAGGGCGGGAGGGACACTTAACTTCCCTTCCCCCTGATTGTTGTTTTTATTTTAGTGGATGACCTCTATCATACGTTTTAAGTTACAATGGACTTGATTTTTACTTTGTGAGGTTTCTTTCCACAAACCAGTGGTACTGGCTAAAGTTACTTGGAAAGAACTAGCTCAGCCTAAAAGGACTTAATGTGGGAATGTTGTCTTCAATGGTTCACATACGCTTTTTGTTCTTTTTCTGAGAATTAAAGCAATCCAGGAAGTTTAACTCCTCCAGTTATCAGATACTAGAGGTGCTGTATAATGGCTATCACCAAGAAAGGTTATTACTGCTGATAGATGCTTTTATCAGGCGGGGCGTTATGGGCAGGTGTTTCAGTGTACCTGGCAGGTGTGAAGCACTCCAGGACACAGGCAGCAACCCCGCTTCCCACCCAGGGTCTCCTACAGGCACACACTGTGCTGCAGCGTTTAATTCCTCACGTGAAGGCTGGCCTGGTCCTTGAACCCTATTCAGAAGTGAAAAAAATCATGGATGTGTAGCCTGGATGAGCTGAGTTGTGTTACAGTTGAGTCTTATACACAGCCTGCATATGCCCGGTGAAATATTGTGCTGGATCCACAGTGTCTTAGGGCTATGATAAATATTGCATGCAGTAGAACAGTGCCCATGCAGCACAGCTTGGAGCAGAGCTCTCTTGCTATTGCACGATAGTACCTCAAGAGGTACAGCTTGCAACCAGGGGCCAGGGAAGGGAGGAGAACAAACCCTGATGCCCATCTCCTGCATGTGCAGGGGGTCAGACAGAAATCCAGCATCCTTACAGTGGCACAGAGCTCTCAGGTAAGGGACCCCCTCAGGCTAGGTCTTGACCTTCTCTGTTGTATGATGTGCTACAGCAAACTTGCCCTGCTTTTGGGGAAAAAAATAAATAAATAAAACAAAGCAGACAGCAACCCTTCATCTTTGTCATTACCATTCAATATGCTTAATTACTTTACCAACAACTGCACACCTAACCCTCCTGTGACTTTGATTTAAGATTCAAATTTGTCTGTATCCCTTCAACCCAAGCAGTACAATAAAGTATTTGTTCTAAAAGCAGTGAACTGTATTAAACGCTAGGCCATCTTTGTCACTTTTTGTGCCCTTCTTAGCACCGTTTTGTTTGTATGCCAGTTTTCAGTTTGTCCTTTTAATTGATCGGAAAGACTTGAAGCTGTTGGTATTTTGTGATTCAGAAGGGAGGACAGAATGAGGAAAGAGAAACAAAACAAAGGAAATCTTCCTGCTTTTACACTGTTGAAATGAAACTTAACCTTGTGTTTCTATTTTAGATCTTAAGTAACTCAACCTTCTGTATCAACTTTATCTTCTGAAATCCGCTGTGATCTTCACATTATCTTTTAGTACCCAGTGTCTTCCTTCCGCCCACCACCTACCTGGTAAATTACTTCCATGCTCAGTGATACGAGGCAATCTTTCTCAAGCCATTTCCATTATTTTTCATGGACCACTGCCATCCTGAAGAACGTGGAATCATTAATAGCTGCTCCATTTCTCCAGCTGCTGGACAGACCGTGGTCCTCTGTGGGCATCTTACTAGACAGTGCTGGATTTCTTGGATCTACTCTAACACTGTCTGGTAACGATGTTTAAAGGGTGAACCAAACAACAACACTGCATCAGGAGGAGCTCTCACAGAAAGACATTGTGCCACAATTTAGGCCAAAGTGGAACATTTGGACAACGGGGTAAGGACGCTGGCTATTGTACTACCGAGTGTTTTTAGATGTAGCTACAATCATAAATACCTCTGACCATGGAGCTGCTGGAAACCACTCCGTTAGGTGCTGTTAAACCTTGTTATTGCTGTGGAGGAGGTGTGACAGGAGATGTCGGCACACAAAATTCAGGTCTCCGCAGAGGCACAGTGCTGCAATCTTCTCTCTCAACAGCAGGTCTGGAGCCGTGATGTGTTTGCACGGCACAGCTCTAGGCCAGGAGGCTGAAAGATTTGCTTGTAGCTTGGCTGTGAGAGGTGGTGCAAGCAGGATGCTGGCTGCAAAGGTCGTTCTTCCCAATTACAGTTCAATTACCTCCATGGTTGAACGGCCCCTGAACTTCCAACCCTATAACCTGCCCTGTTGCAGGCAGCGCTTGCAGCTGGTGGGTTAATCACGCTAATCATTCCATTAAGAAACAAAGCAGTTTAACCCAGGCGAGGAACAACTACCTACCCCAGCAGAGGAACACGAAGGGCTATGGCCTCACAAGAATTCATTCTGACTGCAGCAGCTCAGGTGGAAATACATTGCTGCAGTGATTGGGGAATGGATGAGGTGTTGCTTAGAAGCTGGTGCTTCTGGTGAATACGGAGGTCAGATACATACATTTTTTGGGGGGTGATAGAGGAGAAAGTGTGTGAGTGAGGGGCACTTCCTTCACTAGAAAAGGATTGAACAGACCAGCTCTGTCATCTTTAGAGAGGAAAGCTCCCAAATTCGGGAGCTGTCTGAACCTTGTGTATATTTCCCAGTTCTAACCCACATTTAAAGCACTGAGTCTCTTTACAAGGTGATGATCAGGAGCAGTGGAGTTAACAAGTCAATAATTTTGGCTTCACACAAATTCAGATGAAGACTTGGGCATACTCTGCCTCCAAAGAATAAAAATTCATATAGAACTCATTAAATGGCCACTGTACAAGCTGAGATTCACCCTTACACAAGGAGCACTCATGCTGCCTGGGTTCCTCAAAGTGCATAAAGTTTTGGGGTTCTTGGGGACATGCCTTGGGGTGGGATGCTGCAGAGGCCTCGTACTGGGTTCTCCAGAGTCGTACCCATTGGTTTTCAGCTTGTTTCTGTAAGAAACATAAGGCAATGGTACACACACTCCTCACCCCAGATCTTCACACAGATTCCTGGGACTGGTCTGAGTTTGAACCACAGCACCAAAGCATTTTCCTCATCCTCCACTGTGGTGTTCATCCCCTCCCTTCTTCCTAAATAAACCGGGTACAGCAGCCCAGCACCATGCAAGCAAACTCTGCGCTCTGCCTGTGTCACTGGGAATTTCTACGTGTTTTTTTCAACCCTTTCCAGTAGGCCGGGCGTCTGATGCCTTGCCAGAACTGCTGTGCAATACAGGAATTGTAGAAAAATGAACCAATGCCTGTTCCCTTAAAGCGCCTGCTTTAACTCCCCTGGTTGCCTGGAGCAAGCTCGGTTTTGTGTTTGCCCTTGCAGGTTGTAGCTCTCAGTAAAGCAGGAGAGGGAAGGAAGGAGCAGAGGAGCGTTCTTTGGTGATTAGCCCCCGTGTTACTTATTAACCGGTTCACAAGGGATTGAGGAAATGGTGTGAAATTTGAGTGACTCTGCAAATTGGCTTTTAACAAGCATTTAAATGAGATGAATTGGAGCGCGCACCCACCCCCCATCCATCTTCTCTTCTTAAAACAGAATGTGGGTGCTAAGCTTGGATGGAGTGGAATAAATAAATAAATAAAAATAAAAAAGTAAACAACTGTAACTGGCCATCCATGGCATGCACAAGGATGTCACCTTAAGAAAAAAAATAAAAAAGAAAAGAAAAGAAAAATGGAACCAGGGAAATTCCCCTGCCCTCCCCCATGATGATTTATGCCTAGGAAAGTGTCCGTTCAGTCTTATCTGAGAGAGAGACAGTGAGTCATGGGAGCCAGGAGTAACCCAGAGAAATCCCCTCAGCCTCAATATCTTTTCCTCCCTCCCCTTCTCCTACCAATTTTCATCTCACTTAACTCGGTTTCACAGGAGAGCAATTCCACAGGCAGTACTGATCCTACCATGCTAGAAAAGCTAAGACCTAGTCTTTATTAGGCCTAATTTTGTCTGGGAGTTTTAATACCAACGAGGGCACAGCCTTTAGGGTGCAGCTGAAACACGTGTGTCTGCACCCTGCTGTGCTACGACTGCTGGAGCTGCACGGGACGGGCACGGTGAGCAAATTCGTAGCAACATGGATGCGCAGGACAGAGCCCTTGGTAAGTGAAGCAAGTTCCTTACAATATTTTTATTTAGCTCTCATGCTGGCGAACTGGAAACAGGCGTGTTTTTGTGACTGTGCTGCCTGTACGGTAAATTCATTGGCTACTGATGCCTATGGGAGAGGCTCTCAGCCTTCCCCCTTCCTATCATTTTAGTCCTGGATCTGGAAAAATTGCTTTAACGTTGGTGGTTTCCTCTAGCCTGAGTGCCTGCTGATTGCTGTCTTACCAGGCAAAGTTAGATCTAGCTAGTTTTGTCTAATACTGTCTGGTAATGCCGTCAATCGCATCGGCAAAAATCTTCGTCTTGACGGAAATGTGGAGAACAAAATCTGGCCTTTTTCAGAAGAAGCAGTGAAGTTTGATGCCTGGGCCTTCTCGCTGGAGTCCAGGCTTGTGCTGAAAGCCCCTCCAAGTGCACAAACAGGGACAGGGAGATAGGAAGTCAAGGGAACACAAGGGTGCATGTCCATACCTCGTAGGTAGGTCAGGGTATGGTTTTTTAACTTGTTTCCCTAAGAAACCAGGCTTCTGAACTCACTAGCTGTACGTTAGTGACTTTTGGACCCATTATCAGATTTACTTGAAGTTTGATGGGCCCAGTTGTAACAACCCAGTCGCTTTGAGAAAGGCTTCATAGAAATAAGCCCGTTGCCCTGGTGATGATTAGCCTAACAAGCATGGACAAAAGGCAGAAACCTCCCAGCTCCACAGCACAGGAAGACGATAGTTTTTGACTCTTATTCTTCATCCTACAGAGTTATTCCTCTACTCAACACAGAAAACACCATGAAGGTTTTTTTTGTTGCTGCTGTTTGAGACAAAGAGAATTTCTCCAAGTAAATTTGGGCCATTTTGCCATCTGAAGTTGCTATCGGTTAAAGCAGCTGCTTCTGCTGGGAAATAATTTGTAAAATGAGCAAAACTTTACAATAGGTTAGTATGTCCTGTTACTACACTGTGACTTCAGGTAAGGGCTACTTCATTTTTACACTGATAGAAAAGTACTTTGTAAAATGTCATAAAATAAAGGGTCCGCAAAGCCCTCAGCTCAGCAAATCTGTTTGAGACGTAGGTAATTATGCAATAACAAAGGTGGATTTCCTGAGAAGGGCTCTGATTCCCTGCGTGCATCTAGCAGCCTAAATTTGTCCTCCCATATTGAGAAGCAGCGATGAGCTGTGCCAGCTGTTGGATTTCTTGTGCTGTCGGATTTTTTTGTGCATACAGCGCTGTGGTGTACAGGATGTGTTCCCAACCTCACCTGGTGAGCACCCCGTGCCCCGAGGCACCGGAGCTAGGACAGCGCAGCCTCACTGCATTGCCAGGAATTTCCCAGTTAGGAAATCTCCTTGCCCCAAACCTCTCAGGCGGTGAAGATGCTATCTGGGTCCTGCTTGAAGTGAGTCATGCTGGCAAGTCTCATTTTGCAGGGTACAAGCAACGTCCCTTTCCACAGCACAATTCTTTCATGGAAAGGTGCTGCTTCCTCTGGTATATTGCGGTGTCTCATCAATTTTATACATTTAATTGTGCTATACCTGAACTTCAGCTGTTGGACTCCTTGTTTTCCTTTTCTCTTCGTGCCTCTCCTTGCCCAACATCTTTGTATTTCACAGAAGCTGGAGTTTCTTCTTGGAAGTTTCCCTGTTTCTGTTTCTCTCTGCGTGAGATGCTCAACAGGATGTTCCAAGTGGGTTTTTGGCGTCAGGGTGTCCCTCAAAATGAAATAAATCTGACCTTTCAGCAGCACTGCCCTTTGCTAGTTTTTTTTTTTTAAAGAAGTAAAAACAAGAACTACCTCGCTTTTAATAAAATGTCTTCTTGGGTAAGTTGGTAATAAAAAAAAAATCCAGTGCAATATCCTGTGTAGTCAATTTTAAAGGGTAGGTATGTATAAAACATTTTTACAGAGACCAAAGGTATGACTGCGGTCCTTAATGTTGCATTCACATTTTCTTTTACCAATTACAGTAATTATGATGACGAATATTTACTGTCACTGTATTTTATCACTAGAATCCACGTGTGGATAAACACAAAGATTTTCATTGTAGAAGTAGGAAGGACGGTTTCACAGGCTGTATAAATGCATGTGTGTATCTTACGTATTATTTAACTTGCTGCTTCACTGCTTTAGAGCTTGTTATAAATTTTAAGCATTTTAATTGTGTTTAATAAAACAGTTGAATCTCAGCCCAGCTCTGTGTTGAATTTATTTTGAAGCAATGCAGATTTGTGTGCATTTAAACTAAAGAACATTCCCAAATGCATGAATTTAATCCAGTAAATGCTGTCCAAGAGCAGTAACTTGTGTGCCTCGTGGTGCAGACCAGCTCGGCGTGGGGATGTGGCCAGCTCCTCAGCACGGTCTCTGCTTTGATGCTTGAGAAGTAATCATAAGAGCAAGGCAAGTGGGAATCTTCCAGCTTCTTGTGATACTTAAAATGCTAAAGAAATTCAAAATAGTGTACCCAGTGCTGTCTGTGGTTTCTAGGTAAGGGCACAACTTCTTAATACTTGCCTTGGAGCCCTTTTTTTTTTTTTTTTTTTTTTTAAACAAACTTTGTAAGCAAAATATTATATTGGGCGGAAAAAAAAGTTTAACTTTCATTTCTGCCTGATTTCCTTTTATTAATCTTAGACTTA